CTCCTCCTTTACTCTCCCTTCATGTTAGTGGTATGACACTAAGACACGCTGTCTTGGTGTCATACTTGATTCCAGCCTCACCTATAAGCCTCACATCCAGTATGTTGCCAAATCCTGTAGATTCCATCTTAAAAACATAGCCCACATCTGCCCCTTTCTTACGCAAGATGCTACTAAGGAGCTTGTCCATGCTCTAGTAATTTCTCCTAATTGGTCTTCCCAAAAGACGTATTGCCCACTACACTCTCTAATGAATGCTGCCGCCAGATTGATCTTCCTCTCTAGTCGGTCTTCTCAAACCTCACCCCTTTGTCAGTCTTTACATTGGCTTCCTGCATCCTATAGGAATCAATTCAAAGTGATAACACATATCTATAAAGCACTGAACAATTCTAGTCCCTCTTATATCTCCTCAGAGATCCATAGGTATGCCTCTTCTCGGTCTCTCCGCTCTGCCTGTGACCTTCTAGGAGACTTAAAGGCAGCACTCTACTCTCTTCTCCAGCTCTACTTCACTCCCACCTTATTTGATTGCTATTTCCTGTCCTAATGTGTTTTTTACCCCACCTCCTATAGACTGTAAGCTTGTTTGAGCGGGGTCCTCTTCAACCGATCGTACCTGTAAGTTTTCTTGTACTTGTCCTGTTTAATAGTTAAATCCCCCTTGTATAATATTGTAAAGCGCTACGGAATCTGTTGGCGCTATATAAATCTCAAAAATAAAAACTATAATTATAATTATAATAACTAAATGTAAGAAGAAAGACTCTTATTTACACAGACTGATTTCTAAACACATTTATTGTAGTTTAAAGATACATTACTGGGAGTATTATTGCTGGTGAGCTCTGTGATACACTCAGACACATTAATGGGAGTATTATTACTGTGGAGATCTGTTATACAAAGACACGTTACTGGGCGTATTATTGCTGTGGAGCTCTGTTATACACTCAGTGACATTACTGGGAGTATTATTGCTGTGGAGCTCTGTTATACACTCAGGCACATTACTGGGAGTATTACTGGGAGTATTATTGCTGTGGAGCTCTGTCATACACTCAGACACATTACTGGGAGTATTATTGCTGTGGGGCTTTGTTATACACTCAGACACATTACTGGGAGTATTACTGCTGCGGAGTTCTGTTATACACTCATTCACATTACTGGGAGTATTATTGCTGTTGAGCTCTGTTATACTCTCTGACACATTACTGGGAGTATTATTGCTGTGGAGCTCTGTTATACACTCAGGCACATTACTGGGAGTATTATTGCTGCAGAGCTCTGTTATACACTAAGACACATTACTGGGAGTATTATTACTGTGGAGCTCTGTTATACACTCAGACACATTACTGGGAGTATTATTGCTGTGGGGCTTTGTTATACACTCAGACACATTACTGGGAGTATTACTGCTGCGGAGTTCTGTTATACACTCATTCACATTACTGGGAGTATTATTGCTGTTGAGCTCTGTTATACTCTCTGACACATTACTGGGAGTATTATTGCTGTGGAGCTCTGTTATACACTCAGGCACATTACTGGGAGTATTATTGCTGCAGAGCTCTGTTATACACTAAGACACATTACTGGGAGTATTATTACTGTGGAGCTCTGTTATACACTCAGACACATTACTGGGAGTATTATTGCTGTGGGGCTCTGTTATACACTCAGACATCAGGATTTTGATGCGAAAATTCAAACGTGGCTTTGAAGCAAAACACACCTCACTATATAAGGGTGCCCCTGTCCTTCCCTCAGCGCCCTAGTGTGGTTCTTGTTTGTTCCCTCTAGTGCTCTTGGTAAATTTGTCTGTTTTCTGGTATATTGACCCTTGGCTTTCCTTACTGACTACTCTCCTCTCTGGCTCCCTGAATTTTGGCTTGGTTGTTTCTCGTATATTCCGTGTTCTGTACTCCCTTGATGTCTGGCTATTCCTTTGACTATTCTCTGACGTTAAGCCCGGCCTCCCTAAGGTCCAGTATATGTCTCTTTCTGGGTTACTATTTGCATGAAGGGGTCACTGTCGTGACATTTCACTAGGGCTATGGACCCTGCAGGTGCTAACCCTCATGGGCTGGTTCCTGATAACCGGTTTGAGGAACTGGACCATCGTATGGACCAGTTCGCTGTAGCTGTTCAGACCTTGCTAGCCCGTACTGCCCATCTCCAGCCGGAGGAACATATCCCGGGTCATAGACCCCAGTAATCTCATATGGAGATGGTTGCAGGAGGGCTTCTGCCCACGCTACACCCCCTCTTCGTTATGGCGGTGATCCCAAAGGAGGCAGTGGTTTCCTAAACCAAGTTAGCATAAATTTCGAACTTCATCCTAGAGCTTATCCTACTGATAGATCAAAGATTGGTTACATTATAACCTTGTTAGTGGATAGAGCACTAGTTTGGGCCAATCCTTTGTGGGAGAACGACAATCCTTTCGTTTTTAACCATGCAGAGTTCGCCGCTGCCTTTAGGAGAACGTTCAATCCCGCTTGAAGACGAACTAATGCCGCAAAAACCCTCTTATGAATGAGACAAGGGTCTCTCTCCCTGGTTGAATATGCCTTAGAATTCCGCACTCATGCTGCCGAGGTTATATGGAATGAGCAGGCCTTTGTAGATGTGTTCATGAATGGGCTTTCTGATAAGCTTTTAGACGAGGTGGCTACCAGAGATCTACCTAATGCGTTAGAGGAATTAATCACCTATTTAGCACATATAGACGACCGTCTCCGACACCAGGGATAGACCTAGACGTGTACTGGAATGCCTGGCTTTAACATTCCCTTCGTCGGAGGCAACCGCTGTCGCCCTCGCAGAACCCATGCAATTGGGAACCACGCGGTTACCTAAACCAGAGAGGCTATATAGACGAAGGAAAAGAGGGCATTCCCGCTTACACTGTCCAAGCAGGCCGCAAAACTCCAACATCTGAGCCCTCAAGGAGGACAGGCCTTGGGTGTAATGTGTATGTCCTCCTTCAATGACAAGAAATAACTCAGGCTTCTTCTACCTATAACCATAGAATGGGAGGGAAATATAGTAACAACCACTGCCTTAATAGATTCTGGGGCAGCTGAGAATTTTGTTGATCGTGAATTTGGTCAGCATCACAATCTCCCATTCCAAGAAAGATCAACACCCTTGGCCGTTGAGGCCATAGATGGTAGACCACTGTCAATTCCTTTTATTACTCAGGAAACTAATCCCCTAGTTTTGACTGTAGGTTCATTGCATAAAGAGATTATAACTCTACAACAAATAACTTCTCCCACCTTTCCTGTTATAATTGGGTTTCCTTGGCTCACCAAGCACAATCCTTTAATAGACTGGGAGAGAAAAGAGATCGTAAAATGGGGCGAATTTTGTTTTTAGGAGTGTATCATTCAAGTCAAACCAATAGGTCTACTTAACATTCCTACCATGGAACCTCTAACCACCCAAATAACCAGACAATATTTGGATCTCAAGGCGGTCTTTGAACCAAGGGAAGCAGAAAAGTTACCACGCCATCGTTCATACGACTGCGCTATTGACCTGTTACCCGGTACTATGCCCCCTAGGGGTAACATGTATCCCCTCTCTGTGACCGAAAATAAAGTACTTGAAGAGTACATCACAGAAAACTTGAAAAAGGATTTTATTACTAAGTCTTCCTCCCCAGCTGGGGCCGGGTTTTTCTTTGTTTCTAAAAAGGAGGGAGACTTGAGACCTTGTATTGACTATCAGGGTTTAAACAAAATAACTATACGAAAAGCTTATCCCATCCCGCTTATAACTGAGCTTTTTGACAGGTTAAAGGGAGCAACCATATTCACTAAGTTAGATTTACGGGAGCATATCATTTAGTTCAAATTAAGAAAGGTAAGGTATCGTCACAGTACCCCCCCTCGAGAACCACCCCCAGGGCGGGGAGGACTCGGCCTGCGAGAACGACGCCTAGCAAATGAACGAACTAGGCGAGGAGCGTGTACATCTGAGGCATCCACCCACGACCATTCCTCGGAGCCGTACCCTTTCCAGTCCAATAGATACTGGAGACGACCTCTAGAAACACGAGAGTCCAAAATAGATTTCACTTTGTATTCATTTTGGTCTTCTACGAGTGTTGAAGGAGGTCTTGTGGGTCTTCGAGTATAACAATTACAAATCAAAGGTTTAAGGAGAGAAACATGAAAGGAATTGGGTATCTTCATATTCGCTGGCAAATCCAGTGTAGTCAACGCTTGGCACAGTAGTGCATGAAAAGGAACTCGGAAGACTGCTTTCAATACTCGTTATGGCCATTATCTATACAGGGTTATGCCCTTCGGCTTATGCAACTCCCCTGCAGTCTTTCAAGATTTTATAAACGATGTATATAGGGATTATCTACAAATGTTTGTTGTTGTTTATTTAGATGACATACTCATCTACTCTAAGAATATTAAGAAACACCATAGACATGTTAAGTTGGTCCTATATAAATTATTGAAAAACAAACTCTATTGTAAACTAGAAACGTGTCTGTTTGACATGGAAAAAGTTAATTTCCTAGTGTAAAGGATCCTGCTATTCGTGCAGTGCTGATCCTTGTAGCTTCTCCCGAAATCCATCTGAAGTAAAGTGATTATAGCTCCCCATCCCCCAAACATGATCGAGACTTCATGAAGGGGTAAAACGATCTGATTTAATGAGGGCTACCTGCCCGGTATTTATGCCGGTCTCACACCTGATGGACACTCCCCTAGGGGACCAGGTGGAAGACTGGGACAAAAGAATTACAGTAGCCAATCGCAGTGGCTTTGCATAGGTAAATCCCTCCTCTCTATCCTGGAGATAATTAACTTAAGTGGTGGAAGAAACCCTAATTATCTCCAGGTAGAAAAAACATGTCTTTTTTATATTTTCCCAAAACAGTATAAAAATCTATAACTTGTATTTCACTGAACATAAACGTTAAGTCCCACATACCCCCAGATAGCTTGGATCTGAGCGTACATTATCGTCGAATAGCGCTCAGATCCCACGAACACAGTTCTCAATATCATTGAATTAAGTTTTGACTTCACCGGTTGTTTGCGAGATTGTATTCGAGAAAGAGATCCAGAACTGTAGCTATCTGGGGTCGGTCTATTTCGTATCGCATAAAAGTCCCGAACGGTAAAGTGTTCCAGGCATTCGTGTGTTTCGTAGGCGCCAGTGGTGTTCGGCGGAATAAGTGTCCGAAAATAGTTCCAGGGCATCGCCGCCATTTACCGCTGAGTGTTCGACGATTTAAAATGGCGACCGCCACGTGTTCGGCAGACGAACGTGGACCACCAAGCTATTCCCCAATTACTCTGTGGTTAACCACAAGGTCTGGGCGGTAAATGAGCGACACACGACCTCAATAGGAGGTCAGGTGATTCGGCAGTTTGTTCGTTTTATTTGTATTTGCACGTAATCGCCACACACGCATAAATAACCGAAAGGCTGTTTCTCATAGTCTGTTTAACACGGGATTTTGTTACACCTAGGTTATATAATTTCAGGTTCAGGCTTTCAAATGGAACCTAAGAAACTGGAAGCAATCTTAAACTGGCACCTACCTGTTGGACTTAAGGCCATCTGTAACGGCTACCCTGCTGTAGGGGGGTATCTGCCGTTGGCGACGTCCTTTTCTAGGCAAGCTGCTGTGCAGTAATGGAGTTCTTATTCCCGTCCACGATATCCAAGTGTATAATCCAGGAGTGCTGTAAAATGAGGCAGAATAACGGTACCATAAATCCCCTCCAAGAACGAGACGAGGCTACGTTTTGAAGGGTCAAGTAGAACTGATGTTTATTGACAGGGGGTCTCCTTTTATGCAATATTGCCTCTGAAAGGCTACACCCACATAATTATCACAACAGCCAATTACATACATGGTTCAACCCCCACGTCTCCTCTCCTCAGATAACATATAACACAATTAAAACAGACACAATTTTAACTACATTCTTGATGTACCCCAAAAACAGGGGGTACACCTTTAAATCCAGCACCGCTTAATAGCTCTCACTCAGGGGAACAATATATCCAAATTTCAGCCCATTCGGTTGAGGGGTTCGGGAGTTATGGATCTTTGAAGTTTTGACCGACCGCACAGGTTTTCTAGCCAAAAAGAGTTCCATAAGTTTTGGCCTTGCGGTCGGTCTCCGTTCGTGCATAAAAACCCCACGAACCCCTTGCCATCCACAGTCATCCGGGTGTTCGCCTGAATCCGGGTGTTCGCCTGAATCCCTATGAATGCTTAAACAAAACTACCGAACGGACGGTCGTTCGGTAGTTCCAGCACAAACTTACGAGCTCCTGGAGGTCTCAGCGGTGTTCGCCTGTTTGCGTATCCGTTTTTAGTTCCATGCGTTCACAGGCCAACACCACCGTTCGTGCTTAAGATGGCCGCGAACACGTGTAAAGTCCTGAAATGGCAGCCATCTAACCTGAGCACAAAGGGATTCGTATGAACCATGCGAACGGCTCCACAATCACTGGGAGGTAAAATATCAATTAACTGTTCCCCTGGGTGGTCTGATGTTTGGTATTTTGGGCTGTATGTTACAGTAGGAATATTTACACGAAAACTAGCCATTCGGTTTCTGTTTGACACATCCAGCAGCATTGTTAATTGAGTACAGGCAAAAGTATAGGCATAATCATAGTTCTGTTACACCATCCAATGTTTCCTGGGATTTGCTAATTATTATAGAAAATGTATCAAAGGGTTTTCCTCTATTACCGCTCCTATTACCGCCATGACAAAAAAGAATAAGAATCATATGGTGTGGAGTCCCGAAGTTAAGAAAGCCTTTGAGGAATTAAAAATAGCTTTTTCTTCAGCACCAGTATTAAGACATCCTAATCTTTGGTCCCTTTCTATTAGAGGTAGATGCCTCAGAGACAGGGATAGGGGCTGTACTTTCGCAGAGATCCTCGAATGATCAACCCCTACATCCCTGTGTTTTTTTCTCTAAAAAACTGACTGAAACGGAACGTAGATAGGTGATAGGAAACTGTTAGCTATTATTTTAGCGCTAAAGGAATGGCGTCATATATAAGAGGGGTCACCTGAACCGATCACCATTCTTACTGACCACAAAAACCTTTCCTATTTCGGAGAGGCGAAAATAATTGCAGATTCGCTGGTCTTTGTTTTTAACACGCTTTAACTACATTGTGACGTATAGACCCGGATCTAAGAATACCAAAGCGGATGCCCTATCCTGACAGCACGAACATCTATCTCCTCCCGTAACCCATTTATCCTCCATAATCCCTACCTCACACATAGTAGCCACAGTTCATGATAAAGTCTCTTCTAGTTTAATGGAGGTATTATCCAAATGCCAGGATCACAACTCCTTGACTATCCCTCAGGGAAAATTATACGTACCTTTAAATTATAGGAGACAAATCCTGTCCTTGGTACATGACTCTAAGGTTGCCGGTCATCCCGGTATCCATAAGACTGAATCTTTACTCGAAAAACTATTCTGGTGGCCATCATACAAGAAGGATGTTCGAGAATTTGTTTTAGCCTGTAACATCTGTTCCTCTAATAAATCTCCTAAGGGTCGTCCTTTAGGCCTCCTCATGCCATTGCCTATTCCCGATAAGCCCTGGTCTAGTATCGCCATGGATTTCATAGTGGACCTACCACTTTCCAAAAATCACTGGGTAATCCTGACTATCATAGACAGATTTTCCAAGATGACCCATCTTGTCCCTTTAATTAAATTGCCTTCGTCCTCCGAATTGGCCACGGTGTTTATAAGGGTTCATTTACACGGTATATCCGTGGATATAGTTTCAGACAGAGGTCCACAATTTATTTCCAGTTTCTGGAAAGCATTTTGTAATCAATTAGGTATCAAACGTAATCTCTCTTTTTTGTATCATCAATCTAACGGGATTACAGAAAGGATGAATCAATCACTCAAACAATACATTCGCTGCTTCACCTCCGATCACCAAGATGATTGGATGGAGTTACTTCCTTGGGCTGAATTTGCCCACAATATCATAGTTCACGAATCTACGCAACATAGTCCCTTTTATATAAATTATGGCTTTGACCCTATTACTCTTCCGAGTTTCTTTTCATCCACTACTGTGCCAAGCGATGACTACACTGGATTTGCCAGCGAATATGAAGATACCCAATTCCTTTCATGTTTCTCTCCTTAAACCTTTGATTTGTAATCGTTATACTCGAAGACCCACAAGACCTCCTTCAACACTCGTAGAAGGCCAAAACGAGTACGAAGTGAAATCTATTTTGGACTCTCGTGTTTCTAGAGGTCGTGGGTGGATGCTTAAGATGTACACGTTCCTTGCCTAGTTCGTTCATTTGCTAGGCGTCGTTCTCGCACTTCCTCCATTTATTTTTTTAAAGGGGTCCCTTTGCCTTTTACACAGCCACAGCGCTGACCATGCCCCTGAAGATATAGAGCCCATCAGGTGGCCCTAAGAGGCAGATGACCATACACACACAGGAAGACATCCACACACACAGGCAAGCAGTCACACACACAGGCAAACAGTCGCACACAGGCAGACAGTCACATACACACCGGCAGACAGTCACACACAAACACACAGAAGCAGACTGCCATACACACACACAGAGGCAGGCAGTCACACACACACACAGGCAGACAGCCACACATACACACACAGGCAGACAGCCACACAAAGGCAGACAGTCACACAGAGGCAGACAACCACACAGAGGCAGACAGCCACACACACAGACTCAGGCAGACAGTCACACACACAGACTCAGGCAGACAGTCTCACACAGACACAGGCAGACTGTTATACACACACACACAGACAATCATACACACACAGGCAGTCATATACACACAAACTGGCAGACAGTCATACACACACGGGCAGGCTGTCATACACACACACGCGCAGACTGTCACACACACGCAGGCAGACAACCATACACACACACACATGCAGACAGTCACACACACTGGCACAGGCAGACTGTCATACACACACACACACACACACACACACACAGACTCAGGCAGACAATGACACACACACACAGATTCAGACAGACAGTCACACACAAAAACAGGCAGACTGTCATACACACACACAGACAGCCAATCATACACACAGGCAGGCTGTCATACACACACACAGGCAGACTGTCACACACACACAGACATGCTGTCATACACACACACAGACAGACAGACAATCATACACACAGGCAGTCATACACACACAGGCAGGCTGTCATACACACACACACACACACACACACACACACACAGGCAGACACAGGCAGACGTTCATACAGTTACCTCTGCTCATTGTGGAGGAGTGAAGGCACTGCAGAAACTTCCTGCTTTCCCTACAGCAGTTAACCGGCACGTTTAGCTCCACCCTGCCATCAGTTTAGCTCCGCCTCCATCTCACAGTAAGCTCCGCCCCCGCTGCAAATTTTTTTTTTTTTTTTTTTTTATAATAATCCCGGCCGGCCATTTGTGAGCTGTGCATTTTCCGGGGCTGGCTGTATCCCCAGGCCGACACTGATATGGTGTGATGTCCCAGTGTTATGCTTGTAAAAAGGTGCGAATTATCAATGTTGTGCTTGCAATAAGGTGTAATTGCCTGTGTTGTGCTTGTGATAAGGTGTGATGTGCTTGTACTATCCTTGCAATATGGTGAAAAGCATTCCTCTGGCACATCAACACCATCTCACAAGTCAAAATATGGTTGGGTATGTATGTGTGGGTGGGATTATGTGGTGTGTGAGTTTGGTTGGGGGTGGTCTTACCTCAGTGCCACTTGGGATTCAGGTCAGCAAACAGCTTCCCTCCCACCCGCCCGCCCGATTGGTATACTTAGTCGCAGCAAGCCGTGGGTGTGACCTTGCTAATTCAGTTTGGGGGGGCTATGTCAATATGTGGAATGATATGGTCAAGTTTCAGGTCTCAACCTCCCCTGCTCTAAAGGTTACCTTAGGTTACCTGTTATGACGTGCCTACCGAGCGAGGAAAAGGTCAGCTGGTGGTAAGCATTGGAAGGGAAAGGAATTTATCCCGAGGAGGGAGGTGAGAAGAAGTGGTACATAGGCACATGGACAGTTTATTGGCAAGGACGGTTGGGTTATTCTGTATGAAACTGTGTGTTAACTTATTGTTAAGTTTATATCAAGTAAAGAATAATATTGAATAAATTATGGATGTGTTATACAGTATTTATCATATGTTATAATACATGCTGTGGCCTGTTTTATCCATACTACATTGTCTGTCATGATTTCGGTGGTAATTGGGTAAGTTCTATGTTATTATGCTGCATCATGATTCTCCACTACGTACTTACAAGCCTAAATCTCATTTGAGTACTATGCTCACTATAGAAATACAGACAATTAATATGATTGAGATTGCACTAAAAATAAAAATACATATTTTTTCATGATTAAAGGGGGGGGGGGATACTGGAGACCCTAGGTACGCCTCTGCTCCCTATAGGTGTACCACTCCATGTGGTGCAGAGACTAGATAATTACATCTTACTGATAAGCATAGCCCAAAGCACTGATACATTCTTCACCAGTAGCCACCACAGCCTGTAGATGTCACATCAATTGGAGAAGAGCAACAGACAAAAACTGGTGGACAGAAAAAGAGATTTCGATAGAAATGAAGACAGACAGACAGAGACAGAAAGACAGACAGAAAGATAGAAAGACAGACAGATAGAAAGAAACACACAGCGATAGACAGAGACAGACATATAGAAAGAAATACACAGAGACAGACAGACAGATAGATCAGACAGAGAGAGAGAGGCAGACAGACAGAGAGACAGAGAGAGAGAGACAGACAGACAGATGCCATTTCCTAATTGCTCACCTGTCCCCTGCAGACTCAGTATCACACAGACAGCCAGTATCCATGGCCCAGTTCTGACAATGCTTGCTCTGGCCATGCTAAGTGACCCAAGTACTGATCTTGATCCAAAATATAGAACTAACTCTGACATGTTAGCCCAGGTATCTGGATTATTTATTTCTTATGGAGGAAACAGTCATCACAGTTTATAACAGGGAGGTGCTGACCATTTACAGAGGATTAACAAGGATCAGTCTAAATGTTACTGCGTAGAAATACATTTATGTACATTCTTTAATGTCTACACAACACTGTCAAATATATCAATTAGAAACATAAAAAGCACATTGAAAATGTCTTGATCAAAGAGCTTTCATTTTGCGTAAATATTAATTATTTGCACTAGGATGTAAGTTAGTGAGTAGAATGCTTTGCTTTTTGTGCAATGTTTTTGATACAATTTGTGCTTTATTTTGCAGGTGAATTTTTGTTTTTTATGTGTGGGGTGATAACATTTTTTTAGTTTTTTTTACATTTTAGTATTTTATGTGTGGGGTGATGTGTTTATTTAAGTTTCTTTATTTTGTGGTGTGCAAGTTGTTTTGTATAATTTGTACACATGCCTTACACTGTTTTTTTTGTGTTGTATTTGTGTGTTTGTCTCTCGTCTAGTGTGTGTCATGTAATCTGTAAGGAGGTGTATGTTGTGTAGTGTGTGTCATGTAATCTGTAAGGAGGTGTATGTTGTGTAGTGTGTGTCATGTAATCTGTAGGCGTGCGCACTGAGTGTGCCAGGTGTGCCTGGGCACACCCTAATCCCCGCGGCCGCGCTATGTGCCTCCCTCTGTGGGCAGGCGGAGTGAGATCAAAGATCTCCCTCCCCGCCCCACAGGCAGGGAGGGAGGCAAGAGAGGACTCGGGGAGCTCTTGCCAGCAGCTCCGCCAGGTTCCTCTCGCAAGAGTGAACTCTAGCCCCGGACCACTGGACCACCAGGGATGGCAGCAGCACGGTCCCCCCTCCATACAAAAGGTAAGAAGGGAGGGGGGATATCAACTAAACGGCCCCCTCCCCCCACACAATACACACATACAGCACCCTTACACACACAGCACCCTTACACACACACTAACAGCACCCTCACACTAACAGCACCCTTATACACACACACACTAACATCACCCTCACATTAACATCACCCTTACACACACACACTAACATCACCCTCACACTAACAGTACCCTCACACTAACATCACCCTTACACACACATACATCACCCTTACACACACACAGCACCCACACACAAACAGCACCCTTAAACACACACAGCACCCTTACACACACAGCACCCTTACACACACACAGTGCCTTCACACACACACACAGTGCCTTCACACAAACACACAACGCCTTCACACACACACAGCGTCTTCACACACTCACAGCACCTACACACACAACACCTACAAACAGCACCCTCAAACACACACACAGCAGTATATGTGTGTGTGTGTATGTATGTGTATGAATGTGTATATATATGTATAGATATATATATATACGCGGCATGTGTTTGTACTTTAGGGTGCACACCCTTATACAATAGGCTGCGCACGCCTATGCATGTAATCTGTGAGGAGGTGTATGTTGTGTAATGTGAATCTAATGTAATGTGTGTTGTAGATTGCGTGTCTTGTATAGTGGATGCCACACTGTGTTTTAATTTCTCGTACAGTGTGTGTATGTATGAGTCATGTTTCTCGCATGAGAGAAACTGTTTATTTAGTTAGCTGTATTTGCACTGGGAGAGAAATACAGAGGTGATTGTATTTTTGCAGAAGCAAAGTGCAGAACAAACAGATGCCATTCTTTGACAAATGAGCAGTAAATATAGAAAATAACACAGTCTTTCAATTGTACCTCTGCTTGAATCTAAGCCAGCAACTCTGTCTGACCAAGGTTGCTTACAGCCATTGCTGCCCCTATAGCATACCAGCATCTTATAGCCACGTTATATCTGTCTAACCGAATCACCCCAAACCCATCCCTGCCCCCCTACAGCATACCAGCATCTTATAGCCACCTAAACTCTAACTGAATCACCCCAAACCCATCCCTGCCCCCCTATAGCATACCAGCATCTTATAGCCATCTAATCTCTAACTGAATCACCCCAAACCCATCCCTTCCCCCCTATGGCATACCAGCATCTTATAGCCATCTTATCTCTAACTGAATCACCCCAAACCCATCCCTTCCCCCCTATGGCATACCAGCATCTTATAGCCACCTAATCTCTAACTGAATCACCCCAAACCCGTCCCTGCCCCCCTATCGCATACCAGCATCTTATAGCCACCTAATCTCTAACTGAATCACCCCAAACCCAGCCCTGCCCCCCTATAGCATACCAGCATCTTATAGCCACCTAATCTCTAGCTGAATCACCCCACACCCATCCCTGCCCCCCTATAGCATACCAGCATCTTATAGCCATCTAATCTCTAACCGAATCACCCCAAACCATCCCTGCCCCCCTGTAGCATACCAGCATCTTATAACCATCTAATCTCTAACCGAATCACCCCAAACCCGTCACTGCCCCCCTATAGCATACCAGCATCTTATAGCCACCTAATATCTAACTGAATCACCCCAAACCCATCCCGGCACCCATATAGCATACCAGCATCTTATAGCCATCTAATCTCTAACTGAATCACCCCAAACCCATCCCTGCCCCCCTATAGCATACCAGCATTTTATAGCCACGTTATATCTGTCTAACCAAATCACCACAAACCCAAACTGGTAGTTCTTTCTATGGGATGGATGGGGGCGGGGGGGGGGAGAGAACCGTAAATACAAATGCAATGGAATATCTCCCCATATACACTAACGGGGTGATAAATCAAGGAGTCTTGCCATGTGTTGTACTAAATTTTAATTGAGTTGGAAAAATGTATTTGAGAGAAAGTGATGGCCTGCAATATAGTATTTATTCACTATAGTTATCGTATAGTTCTTATAGTCTGAATATTTTCACTAAACTAATTTTCAGCCCAAGGAATCAGTTGTTTTCTGAATAAATGAGCTCATTCTGTTATTAAAACTTACAAATGATTATTCATCAAGTAACACAATATTGTCTGGCCACTGTGCATACCCCATTCACCATCTTATTAAACCCAGACCTTCTGCTCTTTCTTACTGTATCTGGTCACGTGTCCTCTTCTTGATCTTACCAAATGTTTCCTCGACTTCTGCTAAAACTGCCTCTCAAATTCTTTTTTAGCTTATTAAATCTATGACCATTAACCAATATTTCTGCTTACTAACTGTAACGGCACCCTGAGGCATAAAAGGGGTTAACATATTCCCCTTCCAGATACACAGGCAGCTACCAAAGACACTATCTGCCGAACAGGAAACCATATGAATGCTGTAAACAGCTGAACCGGAACTATACGAATGCTGTAAACAGCCGAATAGGAAAAACCATACGAATAGGTTTACATTCCTAGCAGTCAAACTGGAACAGCATACAATAAATCTCCCCAAGAACGAGACAAGGCTCCATTTTGAGGGTCAAGCAGGAACAGACTGAGCTGTGTCTTTATTGACCTTATATACACATTTTACAGACAAAGTCCCACCCACAGGGTTTTGTGGAACATCCCATCAAAACATACAACACAGATAAACACTCCCACAATTACATCACAATCCCTCCTCTCTATCCTGGAGATAATTGGGAAGTAATCCAATTATCTCCACGGACAGAGGCAAACCTCCATTAAGCACATGGCAGTAAAAAGATAGTAAAATACAATAAAATACACAAGGTTATATTTATTACATAAAATACAGACATGTAACATATCCCCAGATAGCTTAAGTCTGAGCGCACATTACTACTGAATGGTGCTCAGACAACACACATACAGTTCAATTGCCACGGAACCAAAGTCTTTTGTTACACGAATAGGCTCCAAGGCATAGCTATCTGGGTTAAATGAGTTCATTCAGTAAATCCATGAATGAACCGGCTGCGTGTGAACTGCAGACTGCTGCCATCCAGTGTTCAGTATGCATAGCCACGGCCACCCGGTATAGTCAATTAAGCTGCGGTTAACCGCAGCTACTGGGCGGTCAATTGGCGGCACTCGCCAGCTTCTGGACGGCCAACTAACGGTGCCTGCCAGCTAACCGCGGCTCCTGGGAGGCCAATAGATGGCTGTTTGGTTGATAGAATCTACCGAACACCCGGGCAGAAATACATGAATAGACCTTTCTGCATAGGAAAATAAAGTATTTAAATGCCGGTCCATAGTCAAAAGGCAGCAGGAAGGCAACCAGGCTCCTCCAATGCACAGTGGTGAGACTGGTCTCGTCACACTAAGCATCCTTCATCTTACAGAATTCAGCCCTAAATCATGCTCTACTGTGTGAGTAAAGATTGTTTAACCTACATTTTGTGAGTCAGCTGCCAATCCACTTTTTTATGAAACTTGGATAATACCTGCACTCAACATGTCATCAGCTGGTTTCTCAAGGAAAGCTATCATTAAATTTAACGTCACCTACATAAGTTGTGCAAGACTAGCTGACTCTTTCAGGACTGTTACTGTGGCTGATATGGTTTGGTCCTCCTGGCATTCCAGATGTTTACAAACTACAGTCCCCATGTTGTTGAGCCTGTTATAAATTGTAAAAATAAGTATTTGTTTTTAGGTCTTGCTAGTTTATCTGGAGATCAGACGTTCTCCCCGGCTAATGACCAAGAGGTGGCTGCTCTTCTTTTTTCCTCTCACCCCACCACTTGCCCACTCGATCCTGTCCCATCTCACCTTATTAGATCTCTCTCCACTTGTCTCGTGCCTTCCTTAATGCACATCTTCAACTGCTCTTTCTCTTCTTGCATTGTCCCTGCTGACCTTAAACATGCCACTTTACCTATACTAAAAAAAACATCCCTCAACCCATCCACCTCCTCTAACTATCGTCCCATTTCCCTGCTCCCTTTTTCCTCAAAGCATCTGGAAAAACTTGTCTTTACCCGTGTGTCTCATTTCCTCAATTCCAACTCTCTCCTGGACCCTCTTCAATCTGGCTTCCACCCACTCCACTCTACTAAGACTGCGCTTATCAAAGTTACTAACGACCTAATCGCAGCTAAATCCAAAGGCCACTACTCCATACTAATTCTTCTTGACCTCTCTGCGGCCTTTGACACCGTTGATCATGCCCTCCTTCTTCAAACTCTTCAATCACTTGGTGACTCTGTCCTCTTGTGGTTTTCCTCTTATCTCTCCCAACGTTCATTCATTGTCTCCTTTTCTAATGATACCTCCTCCCCCCGTCCTGTCTGGGTTGGAGTCCCGCAAGGCTCTGTCCTTGGTCCCCTTCTATTTTCTCTTTATACTGCATCTCTTGGCAAACTTATTACCTCTTTTGGATTCCACTACCACCTGTACGGTGATGACACCCAGTTATATCTCTCCTCCCTGGATCCCTCCCCTGCCGTCCTGCTTGCCTTTCTTCCATCACTGACGGGATGTCCACCTGCTTTCTGAAACTCGATCTCTCTAAAACTGAGCTCCTTGTCTTTCCTCCTCCTAATACTGATCTTCCTCTTTTGCTCTCCCTTCAAGTTTGTGGTACCCACATCAGTCAACCTTGCAAGCATGCTGTCTTGGCATCATACTTGATTCTGGTCTCACCTTTGAGACTCACATCCAGCATGTTGCCAAATCCTATAGATTCCATCTTAAAAACATAGCCCGCATCCGCCCCTTTCTTACACAAGATGCTACCAAGGAGCTTGTCCATGCTCTAGTAATTTCCCGCATGGATTATTGTAACCCTCTCCTGATTGGTCTTCCCAAAAACTGTACTGCACCACTACAGTCTATAATGAACGCTGCTGCCAGACTGATTTTCCTCTCTAGTCGGTTCTCTCACACCTCACCCCTGCTTCCTGTCTGCAATTCAAGGTACTAATTCACACCAATAAGAACTGAACAACTCTAGCCCCTCTTTTATATCTCCTCACAGATCCATAGGTATGTCCCTTCTCGGTCTCTCTGCTCTGTCCGTGACCAACTCACGCTTGCAGGACTTCTCGCGGACAGCTCCCTTCTTATGGAATAGCCTGCCTACCACCATCATACTCTCCCCTAGTCTTACATCTTTTAAGAAGTGCCTTAAAACCCATCTTTTTAGGAAAGCTTATGGCTTCCAAGACTAACCTCTACCTCACATATCTGTCTCTTGCTCTCTCCTAAAAGGAGATTCCTGTCCTAATGTGTTTTACACCCCACCTCCTATAAAATGTAAGCTCAATTTAGCAGGGTCCTCTTCAACCTATTGTTCCCGTAAGTTTTTTTTTGTTAAATCCCCCTCTCATAATATTGTAAATCTGTTGGCAAAATATAAATGGCAATAATAATAATAACAATAATTATAACAGCAGGAGAGACTGGACATGACAAAATATACCATCATCACTAATATGTACACAAGCAATATTTCTCAGACAGAGAATATTGCTGCCGAGGATACCACAAACCAATGTTGTTGTTTTTTTGTTTTTTTAAATGAAAGTAGAGATTTTGGAAAAACAAGTGGTTTTGGTTTTGAATTCACATTTGAGCTGACAAATACTATGGCCATTGCTGCCACCTAGGTATTGTGGGAGTTTGTGTTTTGTTAGAAACTTGATATCCATTGATATAGGCTCACCGTTTTTCCCAATATAGCAAATGATGTAGTTAATAATGATGTAATGCCTATATCCTTGGTCATGTAAAACATGTGTGTTGTTAATCTAAAAAGTGTACTGTATCCCCAAGCTGGTATATAATGGTTTTATGGCACAATTTTCTAGTTTATTCTATTTTTTTCCTGTTATTATATAGGAAGTAAATTGCTACATACCAGCATGGATTACAGACAGGCACACCAACACGTAAATCACCTGAGCGGGTCTGCCCTGTACATCCATTGCCTCTTGTTTGTTAATCTACTTATTGTACAGTGCTGTGAAAATTTTGCGCTTTATAAATCAAAATGGATGGATACCGATGGCACATACAGTAATTACTATTCCACTTTGAATCTATTTAAATTATTCAGTAAATTAACACAATTAAATCAATCACTCTGTTAATTTGTTTATAATTTAGATTTTATTTCTAATTTGTTTATAAATTATTGCATTACTGTTTCATGTACATTTATACACATCCTCCTCGGTTTCAGAGAGAGATCCGAACATTGGGAATCAGAGTGTATCGATGAGTTGTAACACAGAGCAGCACCAGGAGTTAAATTCACTGAATTCCAGTAAACAGGATTACGGACTCCTTGACATTACTTCCCAAAGGAGAAGCCACTTTGGCAGGAATCTGAGCTCTTCTTACAAATAAATGGCTGGAAAAAAAGAATGACACGGTAACCAACAGAACATAAAATATTCACAGGGTAACTCACTAAACTGAGAATTCAAAGTGAATTTTACATTCAAGTTCAAACTAGCCAAACTGGAAGCATTGTCTAAGCCATGAATGCTCCCAGATTGCCTTCTTTGGCATTACAGCCTCAAATTGATATAATTGGATAAGAATTTTAAACTATTTAATATTTTTGGATAATATTTTAAAATGATATAAAAAAAATTAATTCTGTAATATTTTCCTAATGTTTTATATATGTTTTTATGTACAATATATTTTTTGATATTTTAATATGTTAAAGAAATAATTTCAAGTTCATCGAAAAATATGAAATAATTTGGAATGTTTATCCAACAGTTTTGAATTGACTTGGAATTCTCACTTAATTGAATAACTTTTCAAATAATTTATCTATAGAAATTCCTATAGACTTTAATGGTGAATTATTTAGATAAGTCATTTGGAATGTTTATTAAGACCAGTATTTAATATTTTTTTTATTCACAGATTTCATATTTTTGGTTAGATTTTTAAAAATATGTTTTTCAAAACAGTAAAATATCAAAATTATATTAACATCTTAAAAAACATAAAAATAATTCAAATGTTTTAACATAGTAAACATTTTAAAAGTGTATCCAAAAATATTAAATCAATTGACAAATGTATTCAAAATTATTACATTTTGACCAAAAGCATGCACTGCCATGAAGAAATGGGTGTAATGAAGTCAGATTGAACTATATTGTAGAGCGCAAGGGCTACAAGAAAAACAAGGGAGCATTCATACCTCCAAATTATAAATAGCACCTCCCCAGCCCACAGACCAGCCACATTTAAAATGCTGGGTGCTAGCCACAAGGGCAAAAGACACAACATCCACGGAGAACCAAAGTAAAAAGACAGAATATGTTACTATATATTGTGGGTTTGTTTAATTACTGGACCTATAGCATATTGTGGAAATGCATTGGAGACTTGGGGACAATTTAAATTGGACAGGGGGAGAGAAATCTAAAATATGGCAATTTGAATATAGTAATAAATATGGACTATTAGATTATTGAAAAGAGAAGGAACATTAGTTGTATATTACGGTTTGAGGCTTTCATAATTATATTGGAAGCATCAAAAATGTGAGGTTTTCACCCAAGTGAAAGAAGGCTTTGAAATATTAGGAATCACTGAACTGCAATATATGTAAAATTGCTGAATTTTCCTTGCTTCCCAGGTTACGCTATTTACTATATAACAAAAATAATTAATTAGCGGAAGGGTTACGTTTTACCAGAATTGCTGGAACCCAAGATCAACGAGAGGATCTCTATGGGCTGTTTGTAATCCATCCTACAGACCACCACTGCTTACAATGGAACTTTATAAAACAATAAACGGGCCCATAATTACAATGTAGCAAATACAGGGACATTCACAATAATAAAAGAGCATGCACAGAAATTCTCAGACGTAATACTAATTATAATGCAACTTCCCCGGAATTATCTGCAAATTAAAATATATCTTACAATAAAAACTCACCAAACAGCAGAAACTGCACAAAATAAGGAGCAATATCAGACTCATCAAAACCAGGAGTGCTATTCCCCATCCAGGTACGTCACCTGAGAGAGGGACAGGTAACAATATACAGCAAAGAAGAATCAGAAAGCAGCGTACACATACAGATAATAACTAACTAAATACACAACAGCCCAGGTCAGGGTCATTCCCATCTCTGTCGCTGATGCCTACAGAACATTCAGTAGAACAGGCAATGGATAAGTAAAATATGTTAAAATAACCAGCCTTGTATACATATCCCAGCATTCAGTGATCCCTGGATAGATTGTGCATACTAGATGGGGCGATTAGTTCTTATCTGCCGTCACATTCTATGTTTCTATTGTCTAACATTTACTAAGACACAGAGATCGCTCTGAAGCAAACTTGTATGTCACTATGAGCATTTATTTTTCAAAACTAATGGTTTTATTTAGTAACATATAATTCCTTCCTAGAGATGGGGTCTGAAGGAAGAACTAAAAACCTGCAGGTTTTAAATACAGAATTATATTTTTATACTCAAATTCTAGGCAGCTCCCAATGGTAAATAAATAAGGACTTCCTTGACCCTATAAAGGTAGCAGCTTTGTTGAATAAATGTCCACAAAAAGACCTTGCAACCCACCTGTCAAGCCGTCCTCTCTCTTTAACTACTGACTTGCAACGTGAATGATGCATATATTACTCTTTATTAATTTATTTCTACATGTTTCAACATGTGTAGGAACAGGGTTTGCTCTGCTAATTAGGTGTTCTATAAATATAGACAGATCTCCTTATGAAACAATTAGCACTATAGATAATTTCTGCAGAATTTAAATAACAATGTCCTTACACCTGAGTTATGATATAAGTTATTAATGCCGTCTAGCAAACTGAGTATTGTAATAATAATTATTACAGGATTCTGCTTACCTGTACAATTGCTATTTGCCTGCACATCTGAAGATAAAAAAATAAAATGTGTTACATGAGTTTATAAAGTGAGGAAACAAGGGAGAGGGAGGAGGGATAACAATGTGATGAGGACTAGGAAACTAAAATAGAGGGGAGAGAGAAAGAGAGGAAGGAGAAAGGAATATGAAGAAAGAAAGAATGGCAGAGAGACAGAGAGACAGAGAAGGAAATAAGTAACTGAGATAAAAGATGAAGGGAGAGAGACCTGGAGTACAGGACGCTGTCCTAACATTCAGTGATTTCTGTAATGGTTCTAGTAAAATCATTACTTCATTAAATGAAAGAATCAAAGTAATCTGGAACCCAGAAGATTATTATGGCAAACATGGAACTGAAAGAAATGATAGGAAAAGCGGCGGTTGAAAAAGAAAAGATAAAATAGTGAACACTCAAACCAAAGGGGGTTAGTAACCATATATTGAGGAAAGGATTGGTAAAGGCTCCGACACCATACGTTTATTAGCTGTTTAGCTCAGGTAAAACGTAATTAGAGCTGTAACAAAATTAACGAATTGAGGTCAGAGTAATTTTAAGACAATGGTAGATCCGGGACTCCACTTTATTTCTACCTGTTTTTACTATTACCTGAAAAAGCCAAAGAAGTGGATCCATGTTAAGGTTATTCACTTAAGAGTGAACTTTTAGGCTTTCAAATTGAATTGTAGAATATTATGCCAAAATAGCAAGAATAAAAACTGCTGAATTTTTAGAAATGGAATTCGGCCCAAAATGCAAACTTCTCTTTTAATTCTCTGTAAATTCCTGACAGTGCGTGCTTTAGTAAATAACCCTCGGGGTAAACCTGTTAGCAGAATTTTGGGTGAAATCGCTTCTTATTCTAACAATTAACAAGTAACTTGCTAACAATGGAGGAAACATATAGGGGTCGCCAAACACACTCTTCCCCTCTCTTCCAGCCTTTTTGTTAATTTTTCCTTCACAGGTCTTTTTCCAACTTCTCTAGCGTTAAGATGACCTCACTGTGTGTTCATCTTTGATAGTAAAAGAAGAGGCTGCGTGAGGTCTACTTCATTTCGATAAGTGGGCATTACAGAATGAAAGTAAGGTCCAAGACTGTAAATCCGGAGTCTCTGATAGAATAAGAGAACATTTTTGTTTACCTGTCACCTGTAGATTGAGAACCATGCAGACAGCCAGAGCCCAGAGTCCAGCTTTGCACAGGAAACTTTCAGCAGTCATAATGAGAATAAATTCCACTTCGGGACTTTAGAGTCTAGTTGTGAATCCAAGTTGTTCTGATGTCCTCTGCTCTGAGACCTCCCGTCTTATATATGTCTCAGGGGCAGGATCGTCTCAGCTCACAAGAAAGATCACTGCGTCAAACATTCCAAAATCTATGAGTGGAAGGGTTAGAATTGATTAATTACACCTTTACAAATATTGCATTGTATTTTCTTTTTTATTACTGATATCCTGGCATTTATGAAGTAGGTCAACTATTCAATGTGTTGTATTCCACAAACATATAACTGTTTAATTATTACAATTAACCACAAACAATTAAGAGCACATACTGAGCTTGCTCAAATACAGGTTTCACATGAATTGATTTACCCCTTCTTACAAGGATACTTTAGTTAAAATAATTATTAGCCAAATATTTACTTAACATTTGTACATTTATTAGTTACACATCTACTAATGCATTAATTTCATGTGTAAATTAAATTATTTCATTACTAGCCATTGGCAAGTGAAAATACACCCCTGCCAAGTATGCTATGGCTTGCAGTGGTGAGTAACTCTTAAGGCTTGGCTAGTAGAATAGGACTTCAAATTGTAACACCGAGAAATACATTACAAAAATAACATTATTTAAGTATGCTACATTTTAAGTTTTCATGTGTTTGTTCTTTTTTCTAAATACAAGATAACAAGTTTACAGATCTCATGGTATCCAAGACTGCTAACTACCCCCAGGAACAACCTCCACCCATTGTCCAATAAAACACGTCAGACCTTATGATATTGGGTAAGGGCAACGGCCACAGCTTTTATTGATAATCAATGCCAGCAACTATTCAACACTGTCGGCAACACTGTCGGCTGTTGGGATGCTGCACCCCAGGTCTATCCCGTTAAACCATGATTCCTAAGCAGGCTGCCCCCACCATCAGCCGGCAGGCTGCGACTCCCCAAGCCCCCTCTGCACCTTCTTCCGCTTATGACTGCGCATGGCCAGGACTCCCACAACCACGATGACTATGTTAGTTGCAGCCCCTTGCTGTCATTGCGCCCCCACAGAAAGTGCAGCCTTAACTCCTGTCTGAAGGCCCATGCTAAAGATGTCTAACCTGATCAAACTGAGATGGACCTCATCCGTCCCTGCGCATCAAATTTTGGTTGTTGCCTTCCAGCTCCATGGGCTTGACCACAACGCATCCCAGCCTCCGCACAAATTTTTCCACCCTTATGTTTAGCTTGCGCCAGCTCCTCTACAACCTGCGTGCATGCGGCAATGCACGCCAGCACGGCCTGGGACCTCTTCCGACCAAACCACTGTGAGATCTGGGAGAAGCTAGGTAGTGGCGGATCACGTAGATAAGATCCACTGTCCTAACCCTCCCCAAATCATTCCCGCCAGCGTGAATAACCAAAACGACTGGCCCCGAGACAAATCTGCACAGCGCTTCGCACTCTGGATATATCTGCTGCCAAAGGAGACCCTTAATGCCCTTCCATTTAACCCATGCTACCTCAAAGGAAAACCCCAAGTTTCATCTGTATGTGCGTTCTTCTGCTCAACGAGCAGCCAAGGAATGCCCCAAAATCCAGACATAATGGGGACTTGAAGAAAACATAGTGCAACACACAATAGGCACTAAACAGGAAGGTGGGTCCAACCCCACTGTGAAATAAATCACCTAATTCCACCATACAATCTTAGAACATAGAAAACATATAGTAGGAGACGCACACTGTGAAAAAATACCAACTATGCACAGTGAAATGGTGAGTATAACAAGTATAGGATGGTATATGTAACCTTATGTATTTTCTTTATCAGATACAGCTGTAAAAAATGGTGGCTTACAAAGGGTAATATAGTTTGATAAATATATAAAAGTGTAAATGCAGGATATGTGCAAATATCTCACTCACATTTTACTGAGCCTCTGTAAAACTGGCTCAGGTATATCAGCATAGATTAGACAAAGTCCAATGGATATGTTCTTCACCATATATAAGATAATATGAGAAAATTCGAAGTTAAAAATACATCAATTTATTAAAAAAAACATACATAAAAGTATGACCGGTGATGCATGTGACGTCACTTCTGCTCTGACTGCCAAGATCAGCCTCAATAGTCTTCCTGGTGTCTTACCCTCACAAAGGAAATCCTAATGCAGCCATATTGCAGGACCATCTTCTGAAATCATATAAATTCTTGTCCTCAAACAGGATGCATAAAGTTAATTCAAATGTCCATCCAATAAACAAGAAGACCGGTGGCCATTTTGGAGATTGGCAAAGTTCATAAAACAGATGGAAGAGAAAGGGAAAAGGACAAACACAAGTAAATGTTCTTATATAAATACATATATCTGCATGTATAACTGAACAAAATAAAACCCATGTATATTTATTACACCCATATATAAATAAATGTAAATGGATGTGCAAAGTTTAAATAAAAATACAAATACACTATATGTATAAGTAATACCCCATTAAACACAATTAAGCATCTCAAAATCTAGATTCAATCCTAGAGGTGATAAGGTTTCCCTCTCTAAGATCCACATCATTTATGTCTTATTAATATTCTTGAGATGGTCCCTTCCCCTCCAGGAATTTTTTACCTCTTTGATCCCCATAAAGTGCAAGTGCTTCGGGTCTTCATGGAGGACATGGGCAAAATGTGCGGAGACTGAATGATTGCTGACTTTATATCTAATGTTCCACATATGTTCACCTATTCTAGTTTCCAGGCATCTAGTGGTCCTTCCCACATATTGAAGCCCACAATCACAGGTTAAAAGATAGATAATATTCTTAGAATTACATGATATGAAGGACTTATAATTGTCACAAT